ATTCCTAACCATAACCATCAACTAGAAATCATAATTCTAATTCCTCACACTGAGTTACCATCCGCATTTGGTCCGAGTTATTAGATTGACACTCACAGGGTCACTTTAGCGTCTCTCAAAGGTTTTCCATAAATTATAGTCTCACCCAGAAAACATAGGAGGAAAAATCCAATATAGATAATTATTGCCTCACCACTAATCGTAAAGAACCGAGGACAACTAAAATGCTGCGGTCCACAAACATTAGGGACTGAAATCATGGCCCTCACCATCTACGTTTGCTGATCAGTAATTTCAACCTCCATCTTTCTTAGATAAAAAGCCCTTTTAAAGTGATGGTTAGATTAGAATTATGCATCAACTAAAAGATATTTATTCCACACCCTGAAAGTGAATACCGGCTCTACAAGTACCTAGAACAAGCAAACTGGACAGTTAAAACCGATAGACAGTTAATGGGACACCGAAATAGTAATACATAACGGCATAAAGCCTGGGACTTCAGACAAAATGTGTCAACAGAAACAAACCAATAGGTAAAAGAATTAAGTAATCTGTTTGTCAAAGCCAAAAAATATCTGAGCGATCATTTGTTCGGACTAATTTTGTCATCAGACTCTACAGTTATTAATTTATAATTATTGTGATATTTTACAAAGTTCAGAATCATGCACGCATTATTGAATTTGACTATGTCAAGTGTAAAATTGATGTTTTTTGCGTCCGTTACGATATAAGTGCTTCAAAATCGTGTGATTTTTCAACTGAAAATGTCATTTAACAAAGATCAGAACGATTTATACTAGAGTATCAAGTTATAATCAACAAGATAGAAATAAAATAAATCATATGGATAAAATCCATAGGGGGAAAATTTCTTGTGAAGTTACTGGTTTGGTCGGGAAGATTACATGTAACTTGGCGGTGTGAATGTCTTTTTGACATATCTCTCGAGTCGACTTATTAAAATATCACCCACTAGAAGTTAATGTTCGGACAGCAACAAAATGGTAAAAATTGAAACTGGCGGGGAATAGGTAAGAATAGACTCACATTATCTATGCTGAAAACGGTTTTACAGACAGTTTCTGAGTGTTACCATTTTTCCACTCAGGTAATCTCTTCATTAAGATTTATTGAGTAGTGGTGCAAGTTAATTCTAAGGTTTTAGTGTGTGCATCACCATAAATAAATAGTAAGGCGAGACGTTTTGGGTATCAAAAGAGAACTCAGGAAAGATGTTTGTTTGATGGTTATTATAAAGGATTACGTCGTGCATAGCACAAGGAAAACGAATGATGTGTGTAGTGTTGAGACGGCGAAATGTAGGATGCAAATAGCAGTAGATGCTAAGGGGTTAAATATTTGTGATCTTCGATTTGGTCATAAGATGCCGATATGCCTTGTGAATAGATGGGCAACTAATTAGTTTATGGACAAAAACATGCAAGCCTCCAGGAATCCCTTAGGGTTAACATGTGAATACATGAAAAGAGCAGGCATTGGTGTAGGGAAGTAATTCTCCCTGCTATTATAGGTTGTTTATACAAAACAATGATCCTGTCGATTTCGGTGTGTTCCTGCAGTCTTTATATCTGTAGTAAGGTTATGTGATTAAGGTTTATATCTTGTGTTATATATTTGTGTGACATTACACTGTTAGATACGTTTGCGTTACTTGAGCCTAGGCCGGTACTAGTGAACGTATGTATGCTACTATAATAATAAACGAAATCCATTAGCAGAAACTTTCCGTGATATAACGACCTAATCTATAAGATCTTACGTCGAAATTTCATAGTCGTCTGTACTGACTCGAGCTATTGTGATAGCCCGTGATGTTTTTCCTAAAATACCATTACAGAATAAATTCACGGTTGTGACACAGTGATGTATTTAATTTGAAAGGTAAGAGGTTTCACAAGATGATCAATCTTAAATTACCGATCGTGCCATCTCTATTGAGTGCTTTCATGTCAACCATTTTCGGCCTTACCTAGGTGTTCAACCGCCAACGTAGGTTTTACCAGTTATCATATATTCAACTTCAAGGATCGTGTGGCTGGGAAACAATGTCTCTATGAGTTTACTTGAGAATTTGTGCATATTAAAGCGTACCAACTTAAAACTGCTTTAAAGCTTATGTATTTTAATATTAATTTGTCTCTGGTTTATCACTCAGTTATGAATGTTATGATTTCCGGATCTATGCGCATGTTTCCGACTTCTCCTAGTTTACTCCCTAGTTCTCCTACGCCGCTGTAGAGGTACTTGATGGTTTGTCCCACTGCCTGGTACTCCTCTACAGCACCATCGGTTTTCTGGTTTTTAAGCAGATCGTTGTTTAAAGCGTGTTAGTCAATTCCTAGCCGACCGGCTCCTGTGGGCTTTTGCGACCTGTATGGAGTACCTCACTAGCAAGACCATGGTCTCTGTTTTGTACCGTAGGTTGTTGATCATGGTCAGCAGACTCAGTAGTGTGCTTGTTGGGCCCTTTCACTATCGCCTTACCGAGCTGGATCGGCTTACACAGCTGACGTGACTGAAGAGATAATTTTTTGAGACTTACTAGGCCTGAAGCGCCTCAGTCATGTCCTCTCAGTTCCTGAAGTTCACAGCCATCAGATGAGGAAGCTTGATGGTCGTGAGGTGTATTGAGCAAGATATTCTGCACATGCTAATTGTCATGGTGATGTAAAGGCCTATGCTGTTGATAGTCAGCACCGCCGCTGAACGTTGTATTTGTGAGTACGATAACTGCTATCTATTAGCTCAGTCACTATCTGAGCACGAAAATATTAGATACCTTATCACTTACATACGCTTGTTAATCTTAATGGAAGAGCGTAGGCCGCTCACCAGCATTCTTCATCAGACTCTATCATGAGCAATCCTTTCCAGTTACTGAAAATATTGGATACTGAAGATTATTTTTGTGAAGTCTAGGCCGTTTGTAAAGATATTCCGCAACTTTACGAATCCTCGATCGAAGTACTGAGTTCCATACGGACTGAACATATTCTCACGGTAAAACATTAATTATATCACTACTTTTAATGAGCAATTAATTACCGGGTATCAATAGTCTCGTTACGACCTTGTATAAACCGGTTGACTCTTTTGTGTTCGTTTATTGTTATTTCGGTATGGTTTTTAATATGAATAGGAGATATAAGATAACATCCAGCAGGGACCACGCCTGCATGGCCGAGCCATGCCACTCGATCAACTCAGTCCATTCAGTTTCAGTTTTCAGTTTGGGAAGGACAGGAGGCTCGACGGCCTATGTTAGTCCTGACAGGTCTTTTTCCAAAAGCTCTTAGAGCTGATCTTGCTACATATCCATGTGGCCCTCTTGATATGTAGCTTCAAAAAATGTTCAAAAATCTTGTTTTAGTCACATCCTACCGTGTTTTGTCTTAAATGGGGGTTGAAATAACAGAATAATGTTTTGGCTCTTGTTATTTATATGTGAAATGTATCTTGGGATCCACTCACTATCGCTTTATATATAATGATTATTATTATGCTACTTCACGTGTCTCATCTCTTGTTACAACTTTGCTCGCTGTCTTTATTTAATTATCTATCCACTCATATTACTTTCTTGATTGACTAATAAACTTGTTTGTTTACCAGAGACTCATATCTTTCAACTATTTTTCTTGATTCAAACCGTAAAATCTTTAGTATTAAAGTCAACAAACCATTTACCCTATATCACAATAAAAACCCCAATGTTCTAGGGTGAACGCAATCATCTATTTATTATTGCTTAACTGGAAAGAGCTAGTGCATTTGAGTATCTAGACTGCCAATATTAGGCGATAATGAAATTCTGGAACCGAACCTCAACACCGAAAGGCGAGCGCGAATAAGTCGATCAGTGTGTACTAGCTCGCCTCCGAGATATTAAATACTGGGCCCCACATCATTATGGATGGGTTACCAGTGAAGGTCATAGGGTTTTTTTATATTCTCTATTCAATTGTCGGTAGTCTACGACTCAAAACTGAAGAATGGCCCTAGTTTTGGTTTTAGTGGAAGATTACAGGTACTCTTTAAGTATTAGATCCTAGGCTTAAGGTGACTTATTGGTCTATGGACTTGATTTCCAATTATCTACAAGTTTTTAATCCGATCTACCTACTTTAGTTTCGAGAAGCTCAGTAGTTCTGGTTTTTACTATATAGAATAAATACCAATGTTTGGCAAAGGACCTTGTATTAGTTTATTGAGTTCCATCAAGTTCCTGGTTACATCAGTATTCACACCTGCTACATGGGTCACTTTATACCATGGTAAGTTCAGGGTTTTGAAGACCCAAAGCTGTCATCTAATAGCTTTATCATCAATGTATTAGTCTGTAAAAGCTGGGAACTTCCCAGGAAAAGGAATTTTACTAACTATTGTGTAAGGGACGGTTAAAATGGTTGGGTTTTGTTGACAAACCATTTAATGGTCTGTAGTGTAAATTTCATCGTGATTCCACACGTTCAAATGTTATCTTATTGATTTCCTACCTCACCTCACAGAATATTAATATAGATATAAAGTCTTTCATTTTTCTGTCAGATTTGACTCAAGTATATATATATATATATATATATATATATATATATATATATATATATATATATATATATATATATAAGACAATTGTTACTTTGAATCCATTTACAGTTTGGTCCTTGAATACAACACCTTTTTTATTACTCTACTCAAAAACGCTTGTGTCTGCAAGGTTTAGATAACTCATAGAATTTTTTATAGTTGTGTTTATCACATTGTCACATTGTCAGTAACTTAAATAGATAGCACTATTCACAGTCTATCATTGGTTATCAGTCATTCACTATCTTGTCAAGTAAATCCTTTGTAGTTTCGTGAATATATAATAGCATTAGACTTATTATTTCATTTAAAAAATTACAAAGAACCTGTGATAATATCGTATAATTTAATAGATACAAATAACTGAAGGTTTTTTTATTTTAGTTATGTGGATGCAAAGACCAGCTGTGATCAATTGTCCTCCGGGCCTTGAGTACTTGACCCAAATTGACCAATTGCTGATTAAGCAGGTGATTGATGCTATCGAAAGTGAGAAGACAATACTTTTCAGTCTATTTCATAATCGTAGACATACACTTTAGTGTATTCTTTTTAATTCTAAAGATAATTATTCATGGGATGATTTCGTGGAAAATAACATTAGACTTAAATAAATGTGTATAGGTATTAACATTTATGTGAGAACTAGTAGCAACCACGTTAGTTACCAATACTCTTAATTATAATCATGAGCTAGTGTTTTAGTATCACTTATTTTTAGTTTTCTGTACCTCAGCAACAATTGTTTCTGTGGTTGTGAAAATCAGTGCTCAAGTGGGGATTAAGTTTTATAACCCTAATTTTACTTATATGAATTTTTACGAGTGTCAGTAAATAGTTAACCGCCGTCATTATAAAATGTAAGAAAATATTCCGTTGTTTATTAACTGATCAATGACAAAAAAAACTTCAGGAATCGTAAAGTATCTGCTAGTAATTTATACCTGATTAGACATCTGCATTAGCATATAGCTTAACAATTACAGTGAGTTTATTTAAAGAGTTAATAGGTTTTTACATATAACATCACCTCAAAATATGGTTCTGCTTACAAACAGTACTGGTAATCTTGGTGCTTTATATGGACTGTTGATAAAAAACTTAAGCATATATCTGAAACTGCTCATAAAACAGCTTAATAGTTACTTTTAATTATCTCGCTTATGCAGGTTAATAATCACAGTATTGTCGATTTTTCGGTAGTAATTTTGCTATGTGAATCTGTCAGTAAGGATTATTAGACGAGTTTATTTTAATCTACAGTAAGGAACGTATGCATCTGGTATTTGCTCACTAGTTTGAGACAGTCTTGTTTATCAAGTAAAGATGGACAATCTGTAAACAAACTTAAGTAATTTTGTTGTACAGTTTCTACAAGTTTTTTTAAAACTTGTAATCCTTATTTATTTTATCTTATTTAAACACAAACATTGGTACGAAGAGGCAACAAATAGATAGATATGTAATCCTTAAGCAAAATTTGACAGGTTATCAGTTTCACTTGGTAATAATGTTGATTTTTCCTCATACAAATTTGTTCATTAGTTTCTAAATTGAATAAAATATGAAAGTGTGGATTTGTATCTCACCTTCAACTGTAACCTTGGACGTCTTATGCACCACTGACTGCTATTACTTTACCTTTTTGACAATAAAATTCCGGACGTTTGATTGACAGCGTTTAGAAGAGGTTCCATAAACTTTTTTGATACTTCATTTAAAAGTCTGTTATTTGGGATTACTCTTACTCCCATCTCCAGTTTTATGAAGCTTTGTCAGTGCTTGATTGTCCAACTTCGTTATTAAAGCTATCAACCTGTCTAAAAGATTTTTTGTCTCATATTTCTTTTTCTTTAAACTTTTTCCTCTGTCAGTGCAAGACCTTCCACGTATTTCTACTTGCTGGTCCTAATGCTCCCCTTCACTCTTTTGTTTGTTTCTGTGTATTTGACCTGTAGCTTGGTTTTACCTACTCTTGTTCCACTGCTGCTTGTCGACTTCTTGTTCTTCCTTTATCCTACTCAGAGTTTTGATAGAGATCCATTCCTTGTGATGGTGCTCCTTGCAGCTCAGCATCTCCTGGCATGCTGAAGTTAGTGCTGTTTTAATCCCTTTCCAGTTGTTGTCCACAGTAGCTTCCTCTTCTGTGAGTAGATCTTGCAAGGCTTGAAACCTGTTGTTGAGAGTGAGAGCGTTATTTCTTTAATTTCTATTCATCCTGGTTGAGCAAACTATCAGTATCAATCGCTCTGACTCTCTACGAAAACATCTCTTTATAGGATACACGGTTTCGAATTATTTCTCTTTTGAGTCCTTTGAGCTAAAAGGTTTAATTGCGGAGCTTTCATTGTGATTCTGGGCAATGTTATCGTAGATTTTTCATCAATTTTCTACATATTCTAATTAGCCATCAAGCCACCTACTATTAATTTACACGTTTCATCCTTTTACTGGTTTCTGCATATCTTCTACCGTCACCCGATCGAAGCTGCTACCTTGACGCGGTGGTCGGACTTGCCTATCGTGATGACCCAACCGAGCTATATTGGCTAGGACATATGTTCCTGTAGGTTATACCATGCCAGGCAGGTCGATCGAAGAACGGTAAGACTAAAAGCAGCAACTCAAGGTCTGAGGGCGAAGTCGTACTGCTGACTGTAGAGAAGTGTGACAGCAGTAAGGTGTTTCCCTCGGACAACCAGCATGACAGCGATGCTGCCTTCCCACAAGGAGGGGTGGGGTTAGAAAAGGTCGACCCTAAAAATGCACACCTCACCTTACCTCACGGATTTCCGTCTCCGGCGGTAAGGCCCCTTGAAGAACGGAGCTAACACGTCAAAAACCTTCCACAAAAAGGCCGTGCGCGACCGGCCTCAAGCAGTTGTCCCTTGAGCTCTGCGGTCACGCTCCCAGGTCTTTGAGACCAACACTAATCCAATTTCCTTTCCAGGTTCCTCAAGAAATACCCTTCCACGGTGTGGGCAGCCGGGAAGTGACATCAGCCCTCATACCCGTAACAGCACAAGAGACCAAGGTGGTCACATTCAAATCCTTCCTACACTTCCTAATACCTCTCTTATCTCCCCGACTAACCCTCCTCACGTCTATTTATCACCTCGCACCGCTAGGGCAAACGATTCGAGTACGCGGAACGCCATTCCTGGTCTCCTGAAACCACGCTCTAAACTACACGTAGGAGCTTTTAACGTCTGAACACTGTGCCAAATAGGACAGCAGGCTTCCTTAGCTAAAACTTTAGAATCTCGCGCCATCGATGTGTGCTACGTCTCCGAAACGCGCATACAGGATCCAAGTAGCGTCATTCATTTGACCTCACCATGCCAAAATAAAGAACCGACTCGATTTACGCTTCGTGTATCTGGAAGCCCTGATTGTGCTTCCTGTGGCCTCGCCGGCGTAGGTATAGCATTGAGTCCTAGGGCAGAACTAGCTCTGTTAGACTGGATCCCAGTAGATAGTCGTTTGTGCGCTTTCCGACTAAACGGAACAGTAAGACTCGGAAAGATAGGGACACTCGTCGTTGCCTATTCGTCGTCTCTGCCTATTCTCCCACTGACTGCAGCTCAGATGATGTAAAAGATGAGTTTCACAGAAAGCTTTCCGACCTCCGAAAAGCTAGGCGCTCTTATGTAGTAATAGTGGCTGATGACTTTAATGCTCAAGTAGGTTAACTAAGCAAAAGGGAAAGACACCTGCGTGGATATTATGGTGCCGTGACTCAAAGAACAGATAATGGCGACCATCTGTTACAGCTATGCTTAGATAACCGCCTGTTTCTTGCAAACACTAACTTTAAGCATAAGGAAAAGCATCTTTTGACATGGCGACCCCCTAATTCGTCCCAACGTTGGACCCAAATAGTTCACATCGCTATCAGCCACCGATGGAGGGGCTCGATAGAAGACTGTCGCTCATTCTGGAGCACATGCTTAAATTCAGGTCATGCTGTAGTGCGGGCTCGTATTTTATTGCGTCTTACTGGACGTAGGAAAGACGCTGCAAGGAAACCTCTTAGGGCCCTACTTAATGATAGTCAAGCTAAGAGTATATTTCAGGAACAACTAGGAAAACAGTTAGTCAGCCATGTATGTGATGCCCACCCCGATGCAGCATGGAATGATATCCGAAAAGCTGTGGAAACAGCAGTGGTATCTGCTAGTATGGTAAACCAAAAGGTTAGGGAGAAACACTGAATCTCAGCTGCATCTACCGCACTGATAGATGCTCGAGAACTCATTCCATCTGGTTGTGAACATAACGAAGAGCGGAGTCAGCTTAAGCGCAAGCTGACAAGAAGTCTACGCAATGATCGCGAACAGTGGTGGGTAGCGAAAGCAAGAGAGATGGAAAAGGCAGCGGCAATAGGTAATAGCAGACAATTGTTCAGACTCGTTAAGGAAACCGGAATTAGGAACCCGACCGTTAGCGAAACAATCTCAGAGAAAGATGGACATATTATTCATTCTCAATCCAGGAGATTGGATCGATGGGCAGAACACTTTAGGGATCAGTTCAACTGGCCTTCAGCCACACTTCGGTTTCCCACGATCTCTAGTCAACCTGAATGGCAAGTTAATGTAAGTCCTCCGTCCCTTTACGAAGTTGAAAAAGCCATAGGAAATCTGAAACGAGGGAGAGCAGCAGGCCCTGTCAGGTTTACTCCTGAGATTTTTAAGGATGGTGGTCCAGTATTAGCAATGAGATTAACCGAGGTCTTAGGTAGAATTTGGGAACTGGACGTAATCCTATCTGACTGGTCTTAATTACTGATTGTGCCAGTCTATAAGAAAGGACAAAAGTCCTCTTGTGACAATCACAGAGGAATCAGTTTGACTAATATTGTGTCTAAAATATTAGCTTCAACAATACTTCGACGCCTAACTAAAGCTCGTGAAGAGTAGACTAGAGAAAACCAGGCTGGTTTTCGACCTGGACGTGGTTGTATAGATCAGATATTCACACTACGTCAGGTTCTAGAACACAGACACACATTCAGACGCCCCACAATGGTAGTATTTCTCGACCTTAAGGCGGCATTCGACTCTGTTGATCGTGAGGTTCTATGGCAGTGTTTGTCACTGAAAGGAGTACCAAAGAAGTACATTAACCTTGTAAGGGCTCTGTACTCGAACACAACAGGTCGAGTGAGAGCTTATGGCGAACTGTCATCAGAATTGATCACCTCAAGTGGTGTTCTTCAGGGCTGTCCACTCTCCTCATTCTTGTTCAACTTTGTCATTGACGTACTTTTAGAGATAACACTCTCCTCATCTAAATTTCCAGGGGTTGAACTTCTACCGGGAGGTTCACTTGTTGACTTAGAATATGCTGGTGACATAGTTTTATGTGGTGAAGACGCTGACAAAATGCAGTCTTCTGACCACTCTAAGCAACAATGCAAGCATGTTCGGGATGCGATTCTCTCCCTCGAAATGCAAAATGTTGCTTCAGGATTGGGTTACGTCGACACCCGAACTAGTGATAGGGAGTGAAGTAGTTGAGTGTGTCGACCGCTTCACTTATCTTGGGGTTCTCATCAGCCCTTGTGGTCTGGTGTGTGACGAAATCTCAGCACGGATACAGAAGGCTCGACTAGCTTTTGCCAACTTGCGTCATTTATGGCGTAGGCGAGATATCCGTCTATCAAACAAAGGATGTGTTTACTGCGCAGCAGTTCGTTCCGTCCTACTTTATGGCAGTGAAACATGGCCGGTAAGAGTAGAGGATATCCGTAGGTTACTAGTATTTGATCATAGGTGTCTTCGAAACATTGCTCGTATATCCTGGGACCATCGAGTAAGTAACGCAGTTGTTAGGGATCGGGTACTAGGTAAGGATAGCAAATCAATTGATGAAGTAGTGAAACTTCATCAGTTGAGATGGCTGGGACACGTGTTACGTATGCTCAAGTACCGACTGACTCGACGAGCGATGTTCACTGGTATAGGAGTAGGTTGGAAGAAAGCTAGGGGGCGGCCAGTCCAAAACATGGCACAAGTCCATGAAGTCACTGACAAGTGGACTGAGTCATGTTGGTAGGTGTAGACTACCTGGTTGGGGACCACGAGATGATAGCAACCGATGATTAGAGACCCTGAATGACATGGCTCAAAATCGTTTGCAATGGTGTAAGTGCATCCACTCTCTGTGTTCTCCCAAATTCTAATCTTCTGAATTCTTCATGTCCCTTTTTTCCTCTTTCCAAATTTATTTCACTGGATTATACTCTTTAAATAACATCTCCAAACCCTAATCTTCCCGATTACTGCTTATACTCTTATTACCTCTACCACTACGGGATTTGAATCAACAAGTGCATCTCTGTGCTAATGTGGTGTGGCAACTCGAACTGATGTACGTACGTACGAAGTTCTACGTTGTTACTGACTGACTGACTGAACCTTTCCACATTGTTATGGACTTATGTTTGCTTAGTTAGTGTTTGCGTTTAGTACTTACAAATTAGCCTAAACCATCTTCAAGTTAGATTCGAGATGGGTAATAATGTTTCTAATATTCACATTATTTGTTGTGTTAATCAAATGATCTTTTTAGTCATAATGATTCTCTTCCGAATAATTATTTTTATCATTTTTGGGAACTTTAGTTATTTCGGTAATCAACGTTTGCACAAATTGCCTTTGGAAACTTCCTCATAAAGTTAGGATCATTTAGTTTACTTTCAAGTTAGAAATCGTTTACTCACAGTCCGATGGGTTGAAAGGAGAAACCAACCGAAATCTCTTCATGTGTTAGAAGAGTAAATAAGTAGGTGTTCTTGTGGTTGATGACTTGGGTATACATGTTTTGAGCTCAAATAGAAGCTTTATTACGGTCCTGGTTGATAATCTTCAGTCGTAAATAAAGGTTCTTGACAAGGTAATTACTGCCATTCACTCCGTCGTTATCCATAACCGTTGCAGTGATTCTCTAAAGGATCAGTTACCTTCCTAAATGTTTTAACTGAATCTGTGTGCATGTCAATGTACTTGACAAATATTTTACTAGGATATTTTTTATTAGCTAGACTTGCTAATGAAATCGTCAAGTATGTTCTTATTCATCTTTGGCTTAACATTGGAGCAAAATCTGTTTGATACCTGGTATCTCATCAAGTAAGCGTCTTTAAACAAAATATCTTAAAGTCTTCACTTATCGCTGCTGTTCCAATGAGTTTCATGAATCTGCGAAAATTAGTTTTAGGTAGTTCTTATCAACTCTTCACGAGAACTTTCTGGTAAAAGACGTAAGGAGTAGAAAACAGATATTAGCAGATAATTGTTTGTATTTGTTAACGTTACCTCAGAAAAAGTAGTGACCAGCTAAGCTTAGCTGGTAAAATAATTCAGTGATTTATTCATAGCAAATAATCAGACAAACAAACTTTGGTAAATAGTTTATCTATTATCAGCTTGTATTAGGCTATGAAGTTGGTTTAATTTTGAATCAGTTTAAAGTTGATGTTTTCAACATATCTATTGCTTAGATTTGACATAGCTAATTTTTTCAGTATGAGTTTTTTAACAACATTACTGAGATATATTAATGAAGTTCTAAATTGAAAGTCGCTCGTCAAGAGAGTAGACACAACGTGATAGGTTTGACAATGTAAACAAAAAATAATTTTGAATTATATTTGCGTGCTTGATATTAAATAAAGGTACTGATAAGTCCTATGATAAAGCTTACCAATAACGTGTTCAGTGCGGCTTCCATTCTTAAAGATTATTAGACCTAATTAGCTTATATTGATAGTACTTTGCATTTTCCGCAAGGAAGTTGTTTGAATTCGCTTACCATGACATGTTTTTTCCCATACAACTGCATACAGCATTCGTGCCTTATGAAGTGCAAAATCGCTATACCTGCTACAACACATTGGGACAAAGTGTATATCGATGTTACGAAGGTAAGTTATATAAGTTTTTTAAGATTTACTGTAAAATTTAACACTGAAACTTTGTTTCAATTATATTGCTAAGAAACGGTGCACTCTTGTTGGTTGCTTCACAATGAGAATATGTTATAAGTTAGCAAGACGATAGGATCATTAACAACAAAATAATAAATCCCGCGATGATCTCACAAAACATCGAATCATGTTGTTTGTTATCTAAACTAACGGTTTATTAAAATAACCCATAGTTTCATTTAATAAGAAAAAGAATTCAGCGAAGAAAATTTCCTTTTCGACGAAATCATTTACTTAAGCTGTACATTCGTATACAAAGTTATATGGAAAATGTATGTCTATAGAAGGATAGAATGGATTCGACAATAAATAACAAATGAGGTTAACGTACTAATCAAGGGGTAAGGAAGAACAAAATTTAAGGGTCAGATAATAGTCCAATTGACAGATATGAAGAAAAACGACAAAACAACAAAGGTCATAATAATAGACTGAATAATAATCAAGAAAACTTGTAAAAGGTCATAATAATAAATGATTAGAGTTTAAAGTGCAAAATAGTAATTTAAAAATATCGATAATAATAAAAGTGCAGAAAAAACACAAAAACACACCTAGAAACATACCCATTAAGGGAATTAGGGCCAGGGAAGGATGAGAGGTTGGACAAATCGTCTCTGCACGCAAAGTTCAGGCTTTAGTTTGTGGATTGCCAATGCCTCTGCGGTGCATAAAATATTGATTCTAACCCCCTTCGATCCAGTTCCTTTGACTCTGTAAACTATCTTAAACGAAGAGTCTTTTGGAGCAATATGTCCACAGTTGATTAAGTGCTCCTGTATCGAACTAGTGATTGTTTTTCGGTCCCCTTTCAAGAGCCAGACCGGATAATGTTCCGAGATGCGTTTGGATAATGATCGCTTTGTGCGGCCTATGTAACATGCCCCACATGAGCAAGTAAATTTATAGATACACATTGAAGTGGCCCAAAGCGAAAGTTTGTCCTTAACACATCCCAGAATGTTAGGTCGGCTAGAGAAGATGATTCGAAGCTTAGCTGCGTGGAATGTTTTATTCAATGATTTCGAAATTCGTTTATTTAGGATTTCAGCAGCCGTATCTCCCTTAAATTCCATATTCATAAATAAAGTTTTTTTCTCTACTGTCAATGCTTTGTCATGAGGTCTAGGTACCAAGTTTCTATCGATGAATCTCGGTGGATAACCATTTTTGATGAGGGTTTGTCGAAGATAAAATAGTTCCCCATCTATTGTGTCATTGGAACAAATTCGCCTGATCCTTGAGGATAAAAAATGAATTAAGTTCTTTTTTCTAATTAATGGAACCCAACTGTGGAAGTTCGTGTATTGTCCCTTCCCAGTGGGTTTTCTGTATATCGATCTCTGTAACAGACGTCACTTCTCTTTTTACAAATGTTCCCCTCACAGAAACCATTTGCTTTTAATGTGACTTCATTGAAAACAATAATCTTGATATGCATATCTCGAAACATTACATAAAGAACTACTTCTACGATGTACGCTCAACGTGCAATTTAGATTTAATGACGTTTTCTATAAACAAATAGATGGAGTTGCAATGGGCTCTCTATTGGGTCCTCTCCTGGCTGATTGTTTTATGGCGAACCTAGAAAATTCGGTACTTCGACCAATAATTGAAAGATTTCATTTATATAAAAGGTATATGAATGACACTTTCATTATTTGCGAAGAAGATAGTGATCTCAATGATATTTTGAATATTTTCAATAACTGCCACCCATCAATCCAATTCACCTTAGAAGCAGAGACAAACCACGAATTTCATTTTCTTGATATCCATTTAAAAAAGAATGCCTGACGATCTATAACAGAGATCGATATACAGAAAACCCACTGGGAAGGGACAATACACGAACTTCCACAGTTGGGTTCCATTAATTAGAAAAAAGAACTTAATTCATTTTTTATCCTCAAGGATCAGGCGAATTTGTTCCAATGACACAATAGATGGGGAACTATTTTATCTTCGACAAACCCTCATCAAAAATGGTTATCCACCGAGATTCATCGATAGAAACTTGGTACCTAGACCTCATGACAAAGCATTGACAGTAGAGAAAAAAACTTTATTTATGAATATGGAATTTAAGGGAGATACGGCTGCTGAAATCCTAAATAAACGAATTTCGAAATCATTGAATAAAACATTCCACGCAGCTAAGCTTCGAATCATCTTCTCTAGCCGACCTAACATTCTGGGATGTGTTAAGGACAAACTTTCGCTTTGGGCCACTTCAATGTGTATCTATAAATTTACTTGCTCATGTGGGGCATGTTACATAGGCCGCACAAAGCGATCATTATCCAAACGCATCTCGGAACATTATCCGGTCTGGCTCTTGAAAGGGGACCGAAAAACAATCACTAGTTCGATACAGGAGCACTTAATCAACTGTGGACATATTGCTCCAAAAGACTCTTCGTTTAAGATAGTTTACAGAGTCAAAGGAACTGGATCGAAGGGGGTTAGAATCAATATTTTATGCACCGCAGAGGCATTGGCAATCCACAAACTAAAGCCTGAACTTTGCGTGCAGAGACGATTTGTCCAACCTCTCATCCTTCCCTGGCCCTAATTCCCTTAATGGGTATGTTTCTAGGTGTGCTTTTGTGTTTTTTCTGCACTTTTATTATTATCGATATTTTTAAATTACTATTTTGCACTTTAAACTCTAATCATTTATTATTATGACCTTTTACAAGTTTTCTTGATTATTATTCAGTCTATTATTATGACCTTTGTTGTTTTGTCGTTTTTCTTCATATCTGTCAATTGGACTATTATCTGACCCTTAAATTTTGTTCTTCCTTACCCCTTGATTAGTACGTTAACCTCATTTGTTATTTATTGTCGAATCCATTCTATCCTTCTATAGACATACATTTTCCATATAACTTTGTATACGAATGTACAGCTTAAGTAAATGATTTCGTCGAAAAGGAAATTTTCTTCGCTGAATTCTTTTTTTGTTATTTTACGGTTTAATATCTTAACTCTCTTTACTATGCTAAATGTATGACTGTTATAAGAAACCTTAAAAATAAAAACGGCGTCCTGCACTTTTTAAATATTTTATGACTAGTCATCTCTAGCGTATTTGATTATTACTGTTGATTTTTAAAAATTTAGATTGTGTTATTTTGTTAATACAGTGTACTAATGATATCGACATTTTAGTTAGAGCTAAGTTTTTGAAAGTAGAGAAACGGGCGGAGGTGTTAATTAGCAGTTACCAGCCAGTTATATCTGCGAATTTTCGAACATTAGCCTTGTTGTGCTGACGTTGAAGACGTTACCTCTAAGCGTTTTGACCCTTAGCTAGCATACTTTGCAACCAGTGAGTATGGGCTAGACCATGTGTTATTTACTGAACGGTAAATGATCAATGTAAAGTATCAAGTGTAATTTTTCTAAGTTTTTTTTCATTAGTTAAAATACAAAACCTAGGTTGCAGAGTATTCGATTGTCGATTCGGTTAGTACTGAGAACCATACAACGTAGTACTGAATATAAAAAAGTAATATATTTGTATTATCCCAATGAGTAGAAAATTGGTCAGAAAATCTAATTTTTTACTCATTGGGATATTACAAATATATTATTTATTTAAAACAATCTACTCAATGCTCAATTTATTCGAAATTATCAAATCAGACCTTGGTAATGATACATACGTAGTACTGAATAGTGTATTCCCACTAAGTGATGTGTTTAGCTTCCACTGTTTTAGAATTATCTGAGCAATATTTTTATTATCTTGATTAATGAGTGATTCAAAACAGGTATATTCATTCGTTCATAAATTTTAACGGTACTAATTAGTTTGGGTTTTGTAATCCTTCTATTTTACGTAGAATCTGACTTTTGTTCACGTGCATTCTGTGGAGCATCAAGACCCTTCGTATTACATATTTTAAACAATAATAACTCTGAAGTTATCCGTGCAATTCGACCTTTTCGATGTGATTGTTACCCTTGTTGTTCGTAAGTATAATAAGTTTTTTTCTTTTATGATATCACCTTTACTGTTTTACTCGGAATACAAGTGTTTTCTTCCACGATTTTACTTATTGTAATGAAAATAGTGAAGTTCTACTTTAAAAAATTGATTATTTATTTGCGTAATTTCTTTTTCACAAGCTGATCAAATTTACATGGTTAAGACATTTTAATTTATGACTAAATAAGTTATGTAAATCAATGATGTGTTATGAGAATTACAAAAATCTTATAATAATGCTAAAGAAGTACGTACGTCATAACATCACTTTTGAGATTGAGATTCATTATTAATTACCGAGGAAATATTAACGTAAGAACAAATTATTTTTAAATACTTCAAAGAGGATCTGAAAATAAAAATTACGAAAATATCAACAGACTTACGTTTACACTCATAGTAGCATCTGTAGAAAAAGATTTAAAACTTTTAAGTTGATCTTATGACTAATTTCTATCAAATGTATATCTATTAAAAAAGGTAGTTGTTTGACATAAGTACTTTTTGTCCCAGCTGTTTTGAAGTCATTTCACACTAAATTGCATTTGTTCATTCCTTCTTGTATTCATTTCAACTCACATTGAGACGCTTATTTAATAGTGAAGTATGTATAATAATATCCTGAACACTTACAAACCTGCCTGGACAAAATACTTTATTGCTAACTGATTTTGATTATTCTTAATCTCTGTTATTCTTGTCCCCATTATATCAGTGGTTTATCGAAAGGGTTTGACGTTAGTCGAATGTCAGCTTATTCAGTTCGGTATGCATTTGTGAAAACTCCGCCTGGAGTCCCTCCGGGGGCTACTGCCGGTTCCAAGCCCGGATAAAGGAGTAGGGTTGGGCATGGGGTTAGCGTCCCCATCCCATAGAAAACTAACTCGCTAAAAAACGTTAACCAGAAAAAATTATTCAAATCTTTTAAACTCTGCCCTGGGAGTCAGAAGGTCTTCATTTAGAAGAATTATGACGCCTCATGATGAAAGTCGAATTCCTTCGAAAGTTACGAGGCCGATGCCTCTTCTGACAACCAGAGCGACCATTTATTTAGGTACATGGAATGTTCGTACAATGTGGAACACCGGAAGAGCCTTCCAAATTGCTGCAGAAATGAGAAGATACAACCTAGAGGTACTTGGGATCAGTGAAACACATTGGACGCAAGTTGGACAACAACGACTAACTACAGGAGAGCTCCTGTTATACTCCGGCCATGAAGAAGAAAATGCACCACATACACAAGGAGTTGCATTGATGCTGTCCAAACAAGCGCAAAATGCGCTTATAGGATGGGAATCTCATGGACCAAGGATCATCAAAGCCTCCTTCAAAACAAAGAAAGAGGGCATTTCAATGAACATCATCCAATGCTATGCGCCTACCAACGACTACAATGAAGAAGCTAGAGATCAATTCTACAACAGGCTGCAGTCAATAGTCGAGAAGTGCCCAACAAAGGACCTGACCATTCTGATGGGAGATTTCAACGCCAAGGTTGGAACGGACAACACTGGATATGAAGACATCATGGGACGACACGGACTGGGAGAAAGAAACGAAAATGGTGAGAGATTCGCAAACCTATGTGCCTTCAATAAGCTGATCATAGGCGGCACCATATTCCCACATAAACGCATACACAAAACCACATGGACTTCACCGGATCACTCTACACAAAACCAAATCGACCATATTTGCATCAACAAAACGTTCAGGAGGACTATAGAGGACGTGAGAACCAAGAGAGGAGCTGATATAACATAAGATCATCACTTGCTGGTCGCCAAGATGAAATTGAAACTCAAGAAGCACTGGACAACGGGGCGGACAATATCACAAAAGTTCAATACGGCCTTTCTCCAGGATACCAACAAACTCAACAAATTCAAGATAGTCCTCAGCAACAAGTTCCAGGCCTTTCATGATCTACTCAATGGAGAAGGAACTACTGTGGAGAGCAACTGGAAGGGGATCAAAGAGGCAATCACTTCAACATGTCATGAGGTCCTGGGTCACAAGAAGCACCACCACAAGGAATGAATCACTGTTGATACACTGGATAAGATTCAAGAAAGAAGAAACAAGAAGGCAGCGATCAATACCAGCCGAACATGAGCAGAAAAAGCCAAGGCACAAGCTGAATACACAGATGTAAACAAGCAAGTGAAGAGGAGCATCAGAACTGACAAACGTAGATATGTGGAAGATTTAGCAACGACGGCGGAAAAGGCTGCAAGAGAAGGAAACATGAGACAATTGTATGACATAACAAAGAAACTCCCTGGAAATCGCCGCAAACCAGAGCGATCAGTGAAAAGCAAGGAAGGCGAGGTAATCACCAACATTGAAGAGCAACTGAAAGCAGACGTAGCGGCAACTGCAAGGATACTCCACATTCTCTTCAATAAGATTTGGGATGAGGAAGAAGTACCAACAGACTGAAAAGAAGGACTTCTGATCAAAATACCGAAGAAAGGCGGTCTCAGCAAGTGTGATAACTACAGAGGCATTACTCTTCTCTCAGTGTCGGGAAAAGTCTTCAACAGGGTATTGTTAAACAGGATGAAGGACTGCGTAGACGCCCAACTTCGTGACCAACAGGCAGGATTCCGTAAGGATAGATCGTGTACAGACCAAATCGCAACTCTACGGATCATTGTGGAACAATCGATTGAATGGAATTCATCACTCTACATCAACTTCATTGACTACGAAAAGGCAATTGATAGCGTGGACAGAACAACACTATGGAAACTTCTTCGACACTACGGCGTGCCTCAGAAGATAGTCAATATCATACAGAGTTCATATGATGGATTACACTGCAAAATCGTGCATGGAGGACAGTTGACAAAGTCGTTCAAAGTGAAGACCGGTGTTAGGCAAGGTTGCTTACTCTCACCCTTCCTCTTTCTCCTGGTGATCGACTGGATCATGAAGACGTCACCGTCTGAAGGGAAGCGCGGGATACAATGGACATCTAAGATGTAGTTGAATGATCTAGACTTCGCAGACGATCTGGCCCTTCTATCCCAAACGCAACAACAGATGCAGAAGACGAACAGTGTGGCAGCAGCCTCAGCAGCAATATGTCTCAATATACGCAAAGGGAAAGCAGGATTCTCCGATACAACACAGAATGCACCAATCCAATCACAATTGACGGAGAAGATTTGGAAGATGTAAAAACCTTTACATATTTGGGCAGCATCATTGATGAACAGGGTGGGTCTGATGAAGATGTGAAAGCGCGGATCGGTAAAGCAAGAGCAGCATATTTACAATTGAAGAACATCTGGAACTGAAAGCAACTGTCAACCAACACCAAGGTCAGGATTTTCAATACAAATGTCAAGACAGTTCTACTGTATGGGGCAGAAACCTGGAGAACTACAAAAGCCATCATCCAGAAAACACAGGTGTTTATTAACAATTGTCTACGCAAAATACTTCAGATCCATTGGCCGGACGCTATTAGCAACAACGTGGGAGAGAACAAACCAGATCCCAGTGGAGGAAGAAATCAGGAAGAAGCGCTGGAAGTGGATAGGACACATATTGAGGAAAGCACCCAACTGCGTCACAAGACAAGCCCTCACATGGAATCCTGAAGGTCAAAGGAAAAGAGGAAGACCAAAGAACACATTACGCCGAGAAATGGAGATAGACATGAGAAAAATGAACAAGAATTGGATGGAACTAGAAACGAAGGCCGACGACAGAGTGGGTTGGAGAATGCTGGTCAACGGCCTATGCTCCATTGGGAGTAACAGGCGTAAGTATGCATTTGTGAAAGCAACCAATCTACTCCCAATTATCTCAGTAAATTTTTTTGTGACCACAGATTTTGTACACACGACGAACATATCTTAATTTTTGCTACATATTTTCTTATTGAGTTATTCTAATTCTGCTCTTAAATGCTTTAAGTCATCTGCTTGATATCTTTTCATGTGTAGACTAACCTTCCAACTTGTCTTTGCATCATATTTTTTCATTTACAATTAGTTTAGTAAAAATTAAATTTCTATCTTAATACTTACATTTTACATACATCTTTTATACGTCTAGATTATTACATTAGCTTACATCTCCGGCTGTAAACCTAAATAAGTAATGGGGCTTGATCTCGTTATACTAGTACAAGCTTGCTAGATATTATTTTTTCGAGAAATATATTAGAGCTTTTGGTCAGAGCCATAAATGTTTCATTCTTGAGAATACAACCGTGAAAACATGAGGATGGATTAGTTTCCACTAGTAAACAGAAAAATGTTACACGCGAAACAACATTTGAGGCTTTAGGTATGCAAAAGAAACTTAGATTTTCTCTGATTAGCGAACAAGTATTGATATATTTTCACTTCTGAATTTGCTATACAAATAAGCATATTCCAAAGTCATTTGAAAGTCCTTACATTCATTTATGGGCAGTTATAGAAGTTAAGTATTTTACACTCCCGAGCTTATATATATATATATAAGTAATGAAGTAATTAGCCCTTGATTTTTGATTTCCTACACGAGGTTAGTTGAGTAAAAGAGGAATTTTATGAATATTGGCCATTATCTTTGAAGTATACTGCACCAATAACGTAAAATTTATTAATCATTCCCATCAATCATAGGTGTCTTTTTCGGACAGTGTTTTGATCAATTCTAAATAAAGAACTGTCCATTTAGAATATTATGTGAGGAAAATAATGTTTACCTGTCAACAAAAAACAGAAAATAAGACAGATTCATACAAACTCAAAGACAATGAGGTATTCAATTCGTGTTCACTTTGTACAGAATTCAAGATTAATGAATGCTATATTATCATAGGTAAGCTAATGATATAAGACTTGAAGATTAGCACATACTATCTTGAACGCTGTGTTCGATTTTCACCCTGGTCATGGATTCAACTTATGAAACCAACATCTTTGAATGAGGTTTAGTGTGGTCATTAGCTCATGTGATGGCGTATTATGACTACATCATCAAGGCTTTTCGATTCGTGCTTTAGTTCAAGTTAGAACTGTGCATCAAAGTAAGGGATTATCACCATGCCCAGTTTGAAGGCTGTTGAGAAATAACAGTAGATTGGTGAAAAGATGGCTAAGGAAATGATGTATATTATTGAGAATGTGGTGGTGCTGGTAATTCCTTGCTGGTTTCAGTTTATATTTGATGTATTCTTCTATGGGTTAGTTATCTCCATCCTGTAACCAGTAGAACGGGGAAAACAGTCGAATTCGTCTATTGATTTGGTTTCTTTCGATTCTGTCGAGTACTGTAGTGTCACCAACCACTGCTTAACTAACTGTAAGTACACAGTTTAGTTTGTGATGTAAAAATATGGTTTAGATTATTGTTGACTACGAACAAATCCATCATTAGTGAAACTAATTTTGTCAGGGATTGATTACGTTTGCTACCGTAACATGATTTCCTAATGTGATTTCTGAGATCAGATTGTCTCGTTTTGTAAAAGTTAATTGATGTGTTATTTGATTTGGTCTAGGTGTTTAGAATGTTGTCAAGAGGAACTTGAAGTTCAGTCTCCAGCTGGAAATTGTATCGGCTATGTGAAACGAGTATTTAGTGGTTGTAATCTTGATTACCACATTTTGGATAGTAACCAGAGTACAGTTCTGCAAATACATGGTCCATCATGTTGTTTTTGTGAATGTTTAGGATCAGATATAATATTTAAGGTATACTTTCTTATTGATATTTTAATTATTGTTTCTGTTGACGATAAATGTTGTCAAAATAAACTTTACTTGTCACTTTGTATAATCTTGTTCATTGTGCTACTAGAAATTAATGGTAATCCACTTTATCAGAAGGGGTTTTGTGGGGATTTTAGAAATTTCACTGATTGAAATCATGAGTCAATTGAGGGTAAACCACCATGGAAAAAGTGGAAGCACTGGCTGGCTGTTTCGTCCTAGTATGGGACTCCCCAGCAGTGCGCATCTACGATCCCGCACCCCGCGAAATTCGAACACAAGACCTATCATTCTAGGAGGAAACGGCCGTCCAATGCTCCCAGGTTTTCCATAGTGTTCTAGCTTCAATTGACTCATGACTTCAATCAATGATAATCTACTTCGTCTGGTTCTTTTTGTATCCTTTTTCTTTCGGATTACGTACATCGTCCATAGTGTACCTGTCATATTTATTGGAATTTTTTGTTTGTGTGATTCTAGTATCTGCTTATCAAAAGGTTAGTTGTTTAACGTTTTAGGAAAGAAATTAAGCTGAGTTAAAAAATTTGCTTAGTGTACAAAGATCTGTTGTGAAGTGTTAAGAATCTGTAACTCGGTTTTATTTGTTGTACATTGAAATCAGTCTTTACGGATTATATAGTCTGTTTCAATGTCTTTTGTTAGCTGCCAGATATTTGCAAAAGTTTTCTATTTTCCTGTCTGTGAAATCACCATAGATTTTGTTTTCCTGCCTCATCTCCATGCATCAAAAAGAATCACCGATGAACAATTGAAATAAAAATTTGTTTCATTATTATCATTATTGTGGATTCTTCACGAACTTTTATTTTATTGTCACTACACTTCAAACTTATTTCGTTTATTTCTTGTGTACTTCAATGATTGTTGACGTTGACTACTTGATTGAGGTCTTCGTGATAGCCGTGATCTGTGGTTGGAGTGATACGGCTCAGAATTGTTCACAATAGAATAGACGCATTTTCTCTTCTCAGTATTTCTCCAAAAATGCCTCTCCATTCTACTTTTCTAAACTCTATTCTCAATGCTTCATCATGTTCATCCTCATTGCAACTTTATTATTTCTCTTTTTCTATACATCTTGTCAATTTCATCTTGCTATACTAAGGTGATATGGTAACTTGTATCAACGCACACCTTTACCAGGCTTTATGTTGATGATAACTGACTGACATACAAAGAGATTCGCCGTGAAGTTCATCTAATTCATTTAGCTTAATGATTGTTTGTGTTTGTTGATACCTGCGGATCTTAGAATTGATCCGGTTAATTAATCTTTAATATCTCTTAAATAATCTTTTCAAGGTAACTTCTGCTGACGGTACTGTCGAAATAGGTAGAATTACGAGAAAATGGAGCAATATTGTCCAAGAATTCTTTACTGATGCAGATAATTTTGGAGTTTCTTTTCCGATGGACTTAGACGTGAAAGTAAAAGCGATTCTCTTAGCTGCTGTTTTTCTAATTGTAAGTTACACTATTGCTAAACATGATTATGGTTTATTGCGAATGTGATAAACTATTTTTTAGGTTTAAATGTAAGGTTAATATCAATAGAATAATAGAGGGACGTTGAGAAAGTTTTGTCTTAATATGACTATAATTTTGCAACATATCAAATTAGTAAATTGGCCTCGGATTTACTAGTCCGTATCTGACTTATACTTACATCACAATCAGTATATATTTATCATTGTTTCTTAGATTCAGACCTAACTCTGTTCGCTTCAGTTTGCTCGACTTGGCTTTATGTCTAGTTTACTTATAAGCAAATACACGACAGTTATTTAAGTGCTGAGTTACATTAAGTTTTGTATTGGTTATTTTGCTACTTATAATTTATTTGTTTATCGTTTGAACTTTCTCTCCCTATATATATTTACATTACCCCGTTACCATCTGAGCTAACTTGTTATATTAATAGTAGACGTTCTATTTTGACTTTGATATTATATTGTGTTCACTGCGAGACGGTATTTATGCGCAGGTTTTAATATATGCTCATAAAAATTTCCTTAAATATAGATTTAACTGATTGCTACATTTTAAATTTTTCTTTTATTAGGATTTTAAATATTTTGAAAAGAAGCCAAAACAATCAAATTTTTCGTAGTCTTATCCTTTCATGTCGTTTTATCTGTGAGTATATTCTGTGCTTCGTTTTTTCTTCACCTGAACTCATTTATTTGTATTATTTATACAGAAATATGGATATTTTCGATTTTTTAACGCTTTACTTCTTGTAATTTTTATTTTGTAGTTATCATTGAATTGTATGTGAAAGACTACACTTCCTTATGTACTTTATTCATCCGATTTGTATTCATAACTTGTTCTGATTTTTACTCGGATGTTTGCCTGGACGATTTCTTTGCACCGTTTCTTGTTAACCATACTTTCATGAAGTTCTCTTTTTCAGTAAACAACGAGATCACAAGCTTGTTTGAACATTTGACTAATTTGTCAGGTATTATTTTTGTTTTTTTCAATAATTCAAATGTTTTTGATACTGATTGTATTTTCTTTATTTCTAAAGAAAGCTTTTGATCTGTTTAGTGGAATTATTTTGTCTTAAAGCTAGATGTATCGGTCATTGTCTTTCCTTTGATTTGTTTCGGTATATTGATCAGCTTCCCGACCGTAGCTGCTACCTTGATGCGGTGGTCGGGCTTGCTTATCGTATTGACCCAACCGAGCTGTATTGGCTGGAACATATGTTCCTGTAGGTTCTATCATGCCATGCAGGTCGATTGGAGAACGTTAAGACTAAAAGCAGCAACTGAAGGTCTGAGGGCGAAGTCGTACTGCTGACTGTAGAGGGCTGTGACAGCAGTAAGGTGTTTTCCTCCTACGACCAGCATCTGCAGCGATGCTGTCTTCCCACAAGGAGGGGTGGGGTTAGAAAAGGTCGACCCTAAAAATGTCACACCTCACCTTATCTCGCGGTTTTCCGTCTCCGGCGGTAAGGCCCTTTAAAGAACGGAGCTAACATGTTTGAGACCTCCCACGAAAAGGTCGTGCGCGACCGGCCTCAAACAGTTATCTCTTGGGCTCTGCGGTCACGCTCCCAGGTCGTTAAGACCAACACTAATCCGACTTCCTTTCCAGGTTCCTCAAGAAATACCCTTCCACGGTGTGGGCAGCCGGGAAGTGATATCAGCCCACATACTCGTAACAGCGCATGAGACAAAGTTTGGTCACGTTCAACTCCTTCCTACACCTCCTAATACCTGTCTTATCTCCACGACTAACCCTCCTCACGTCCCTTTATCACCTCTCACCGCTAGTGCAAACGATTCGAGTACGCGGAACGTTATTCCTGACCTACTGAAACCACTCTCTAAACTACACGTAGGAGCTTTTAACGTCTGAACACTGTGCCAAATAGGACAACAGGCTTCCTTAGCTAAAACCTTAGAATCTCGCGCCATCGATGTGTGCTGCGTCTCCGAAACGCGCATACAGGATCCAAGTAGCGTCATTCATTTGACCTCACCATGCCAAAATAAAGAACCAACTCGATTTACGCTTCGTGTATCTGGAAGCTCTGATGCTGATTCTCGTGGCCTCACTGATGTAGGTATAGCATTGAGTCCTAGGGCAGAACTAGCTCTGTTAGACTGGATCCCAGTAGATAGTCGTTTGTGCGCTTTCCGACTAAACGGAACAGTAAGGACTCGGAAAGATAGGGACACTCGTCGTTGCCTATTCGTCGTCTCTGCCTATTCTCCCACTGACTGCAGCTCAGATGATGTAAAAGATGAGTTTCACAGAAAGCTTTCCGACCTCTGAAAAGCTAGGCGCTCCTATGTAATAATAGTAGCTGATGGCTTTAATGCTCAAGTAGGTTAACTAAGCAAAAGGGAAAGACACCTGCGTGGATATTATGGTGCCGTGACTCAAAGAACAGATAATGGCGACCGTCTGTTACAGCTATGCTTAGATAACCGCCTGTTTCTTGCAAAGACTAACTTTAAGCATAAGGAAAAGCATCTTTTGACATGGCGACACCCTAATTCGTCCCAACGTTGGACCCAAATAGTTCACATCGCTATCAGCCACCGATGGAGGGGCTCGATAGAAGACTGTCGCTCATTCTGGAGCACATGCTTAAATTCAGGTCATGCTGTAGTGCGGGCTCGTATTTTATTGCGTCTTACTGGACGTAGGAAAGATGCTGCAAGGAAACCTCTTAGGGCCCTACTTAATGATAGTCAAGCTAAGAGTATATTTGGGGAACAACTAGGAAAACAGTTAGTCAGCCATGTATGTGATGCCCACCCCGATGCAGCATGGAATGATATCCGAAAAGCTGTGGAAACAGCAGTGATATCTGCTAGTATGGTAAACCAAAAGGTTAGGGAGAAACACTGAATCTCAGCTGCATCTACCGCACTGATAGATGCTCGAGAACTCATTCCATCTGGTTGTGAACATAACGAAGAGCGGAGTCAGCTTAAGCGCAAGCTGACAAGAAGTCTACGCAATGATCGCGAACAGTGGTGGGTAGCGAAAGCAAGAGAGATGGAAAAGGCAGCGGCAATAGGTAATAGCAGACAATTGTTCAGACTCGTTAAGGAAACCGGAATTAGGAACCCGACCTTTAGCGAAACAATCTCAGAGAAATATGGACATATTATTCATTCTCAATCCAGGTGATTGGATCGATGGGCAGAACACTTTAGGGATCAGTTCAACTGGCCTTCAGCCACAGTTCGGTTTCCCACGATCTCTAGTCAACCTGAATGGCAAGTTAATGTAAGTCCTCCGTCCCTTTACGAAGTTGAAAAAGCCATAGGAAATCTGAAACGAGGGAGAGCAGCAGGCCCTGACAGGTTTACTCCTGAGATTTTTAAGGATGGTGGTCCAGTATTAGCAATGAGATTAACCGAGGTCTTAGGTAGAATTTGGGAACTGGACGTAATCCCATCTGACTGGTCTCAATTACTGATTGTGCCAGTCTATAAGAAAGGACAAAAGTCCTCTTGTGACAATCACAGAGGAATCAGTTTGACTAATATTGTGTCTAAAATATTAGCTTCAACAATACTTCGACGCCTAACTAAAGCTCGTGAAGAGTAGACTAGAGAAAACCAGGCTGGTTTTCGACCTGGGCGTGGTTGTATAGATCAGATATTCACACTACGTCAGGTTCTAGAACACAGACACACATTCAGACGCCCCACAATGGTAGTATTTCTCGACCTTAAGGCGGCATTCGACTCTGTTGATCGTGAGGTTCTATGGCAGTGTTTGTCACTGAAAGGAGTACCAAAGAAGTGCATTAACCTTGTAAGGGCTCTGTACTCGAACACAACAGGTCGAGTGAGAGCTTATGGCGAACTGTCATCAGAATTGATCACCTCAAGTGGTGTTCTTCAGGGCTGTCCACTCTCCTCATTCTTGTTCAACTTTGTCATTGACGTACTTTTAGAGATAACACTCTCCTCATCTAAATTTCCAGGGGTTGAACTTCTACCGGGAGGTTCACTTGTTGACTTAGAATATGCTGGTGACATAGTTTTATGTGGTGAAGACGCTGACAAAATGCAGTCTTCTGACCACTCTAAGCAACAATGCAAGCATGTTCGGGATGCGATTCTCTCCCTCGAAATGCAAAATGTTGCTTCAGGATTGGGTTACGTCGACACCCGAACTAGTGATAGGGAGTGAAGTAGTTGAGTGTGTCGACCGCTTCACTTATCTTGGGGTTCTCATCAGCCCTTGTGGTCTGGTGTGTGACGAAATCGCAGCACGGATACAGAAGTCTCGACTAGCTTTTGCCAACTTGCATCATTTATGTCGTAGGCGAGATATCCGTCTATCAACCAAAGGACGTGTTTACTGCGCAGCAGTTCGTTCCGTCCTACTTTATGGCAGTGAAACATGGCCGGTAAGAGTAGAGGATATCCGTAGGTTACTAGTATTTGATCATAGGTGTCTTCGAAACATTGCTCGTATATCCTGGGACCATTGAGTAAGTAACGCAGTTGTTAGGAAACGGGTATTAGGTAAGGATGGCAAATCAATTGATGGCGTAGTGAAACTTCATCAGTTGAGATGGCTGGGACACGTGTTACGTATGCCCAAGTACCGACTGACTCGACGTGCTATGTTCACTGGTATAGGAGTAGGTTGGAAGAAAGCTAGGGGGCGGCTAGTCCAAAACATGGCACAAGTCCTTGAAGTCACTGACAAGTGAATTGAGCCACGTTGGTAGGTGTAGACTACCTGGTTGGGGATCGCGAGATGATAGCAACCGATGGTTAGAGACCCTGAATGACATGGCTCAAAATCGTTTGCAATGGCGCATGTGCATCCAATCTTTGTGTTCTCCCAAATTCTAATCTTCTGAATTCTTCTTGTCCCTTATTTTCTTTCCAGATTTTTTTCACTGGATTATACTCCTTGAATAACATCTTCAAGCCTTAATGTTCCCGATTACTGCTTATACTCTTTTTACCTCTACCACTACGGAATTTGAGTCGACAACTGCATCTCTGTGCTAATGTGGTATGGCAACTGATGTACGTACGTACGTAGTTCTACGTCGTTACTGACTGATTGATCAGCTTTGGTTAACAAATAATCATCATATTGTTTTGTTAGTAGATCGTAAATATTTTTATTAGGTTCCTTTTGTAGTTATGATTCACGGTTGTTGTTTTGTTTATTTTCTCATGCCATTTTCCTCATTTAATTACACTGAGGTATGAATAGTTGTACTGTTATTGAATGTCAATGCACATATATGTATAGATATCCATTCTTCTTATGTTTTTTTACATGGAACACAACAGATAAGTATTATTTGTTTATTTGTGGTATCCAATCGAACATTGAAAGAAATAAAACTTGAATTGCATCTAACCATATCCTATCTCAGTCATTTTAACCCGTTAACACTGTTTTGCTATTTTACATACATCTGATTTGTAAGTTGTTTTTTAAAGTTTTATTTAAACCAATAATAGGTGTAAAACCTTCGTATAATTGGTTGCTTCAGAAAACAAATCAAACAACAAACAGCTTGATGATTTCTTTTCATTTTTTGTCACTTGAATACAAATAAATAATGTATGTGATAAAAAAGACTTCGTTGTTTGAACTGAG